ATCTATCTTTTTCAATGGCTGACTGATCTCCTGTGCATTTCCAGCTATTTCTATTTTTATTTCAGTTGCTGTCAAATGACAAATTTCCCCCAGGGTCTGAACCGGTTGCCACTGCTGACATTTAAACATGGCCACATCAGCATAAAACCTCTCTAGAGGGCAGTGCATATGCTACATTTAAAAACACCAATCAAACTTATAGGTTGCTTACTATGAAAATCAGTATCTGTTCATTCACTCGTACTGGTAAATAAAATGTGCTGCAGGTGTCACAATTACGGGAAGATCAAGTTGGTTCAATAGAGTACAATTTACAAAACAATTTACACTTATATAGTTTGTTTCATGTTGGGAGGATGTCCTAAAGCACTCAGTACATTCAGGGAACATTGTGCTGTTAACGTCAGGGAGCTATTTTTGGTAAAACAAATGAATTATCTGTCCAGTCCTGTTCATTTATTCTTTAAAATTAGAGTGGAAGAATGACCAGGGTAAAAATGAAGCCTTGAAATGTAAATTATTCTTTCCCTACTTCTTTGCATGAGTATCTGTTAGTCCAGCCCAATGACTCGAATGGAGATATTTTGGCTTCCTGCACTTCAACTTCAGTAGAAATTTCTGAGAGGCATAAAGTCAAGGTTAAGATATTGGGATAATGGGTATGGTCATGTGGCATGAGTAGATATTTGCATCTTCATATGTATGTATATATACTAATAAAACGAGAATGTCTGTCTACGCTTCAAGAAGGATCTCAATAACCGATTGATGTAGAGACACGATTTATACCTCATCGGAAAGGTCTTACAACTGGGAGTGACATGGGCATATTTCTTTTGCGTATCTCCTATCTTTCATGAGTTATTTTCAGTTTGGGTTTTCACTGGAATTACACCTGGTGGCCGCCGAGTCAAAGTGGTATCATGCGTCACAGAGCACCTTCGTATGTATGCATACACTGCAGCTACACCTGGTGGCCATATTGGCTAACCATGGCGCTGTGGCATCCTGTGTCACAGAGCATGCATGTAGCCAAGCAGCGGGAACAAAATAAAGAACACAGACAAAGCTAAGCCATGGCAACAACAACAACATGTAATTTTTAAAGCGCAGAGTCCTCCCACTGAGTCCTCTCAAAAGGAGTCCTCCCACAGGACTACTCCCAGATGAGTATAGATAAAGATAAAATATCTATCCACATGTCTGCTGGGTGTCAATCTACATTCCTTGTTGGATACTTTGGTTACAAGCATAGTTGAAATGGGTACAGCTAGTTTTACATAAAGTTTTAAATCCAACATGAAAAAAGTTCTACCACAAAGCAATTGACTCCAATACCAGAAACTATGTGATAGAAATATGGCTAAGAAAAGGCTTATTATTTGATAAATGAGCAATAACCAATAAATTGATACTGCAGCAAGAGGACACAATACTAAAATAGCTATCTGGGGATGCACACATATTGTTTGATGAAAAGGTCAATTGACTTTAACCTAAAGTCTTAAAAAAATGCAGACATTTTAATTTATTTTCATTTTAAATTATATTTCTAAAGCACCTTTCACATCGAGAGGATGTCCCAAGGTGCTGAACAGTCAGGGATCAGGATAATAAATTGGATAATAAATTGGTCATTTTCAATCCTTGACTGTTTGTGGGACACTGCTGTTTGCAATTGGCTGCCGCATTTTGCCAACAAATATACAGTCAATTCACTTTACAGTATATTCTGTGAAGCGCTTTGAGATATCTAGAAGATGTGAAAAGCCCTATATCAAATGCAAGGATTAATATTATTATTAGTAGTAATAATTAGCATGGAGTGCAGGGTTGGGATGAGGGAGGGAAGAGGGCAACTGAAGACATGGTCAAAAAAGAGGGTCTTGAGTCATGCAATGAAGGAGGCTAGAGCGGGAGCAAGGTGAAGGGATTGTGGGATGGAGTTCCAAAGAGTGGGAGCAGAGAGGCTGAATCCAAAGAGTGGAGGCAGAGAGGCTGAAAGCGCGGCCACCGATGGTAGGGCGGGTCAACCGGGAGACCTGGAGCAGGCCAGAGCCTGCTGAGTAGAGGTTGATAGGAGTTAGCAGGTCAGAGATGTAGGAGGGGGCAAGGCCATGGAGGCCCTTTAAAGTGAGGATGAGGATATTGAATTCTATCCTCTGAGGGATGGGGAGCCGGTGGAGCTGTGCAAGGGTGGGGGTGATGGGGTCACAGAGCCTAGTGCGGGAAAGGACGTAAGCTGTAGATTTCTGGATGATCTGCAGCTTGTGGAGGGAAAAGTTAGGGAGGCCGACAAGGAGAGAGTTTTTGTAGTCGAGTCTTGAGGTGATGAATGCATGCTTGAGGGTTTCAGCAGCCTGAAGGGTGAGGCATTGGTGGAGTCGGGAAATGTTGCAGAGATGGGGGAAGGCAGAGCAGGTCATGGCACAGATATGGGAGAGAAAGGACAATTAAGGGTCGAACTGAGGACCAAATCTGCAACCTTCTGATCTGTAAGGCTTACCTCAACACTAGGTAGTGCCTTCACCCACTAATCCATCATAATTAGGGATTTGAAGAAATCGCCCAAAGGCCCCAGTGGGTATATGAGAGATCTCTCATGGCATAATTAACCAAGGCAAGTGAGGGTTATTTTCTGTATCACAAGGAAAGAATTCCAAGAACAAACTGGGAGAGACTTCCACAGGCAGAAGAAAAAGTATGCAGTTTTGCTGCTGGCTTTCAGTTCTGCCTTGTTTTGACTGATTCAGAATGCAGCAGCTGCTGTGATTTTGGCAACAACACAGAGGTCTGCCTTAAATGCTAGAAAAGTGTGGTGCTGTTCCAGTCATAGTCATATAAGAATCATAGAAGTTACAGCAAAGCAGAAGTCCATTCTGCCCATTGAGCTCAACAATGCTGGTGCCTTCTCCTCTAATTAAATACACTACCCTGAGAGACCTGAGTTCAATTCCAGGCAAAGGGCGAAACCTTGGGCAAGTTTCCTTACTCCACACAGAGCCTAATAATAATCCCTCCAAAAACCAAAAACAATAATAAATTGGTCATTTTCAATCCATGACTGTTTGTGGGACATTGCTGTGCGCAATTGGCTGCCGCGTTTCGCCCACAAATATACAGTCAATTCACTTTACAGTATATTCTGTGAAGCGCTTTGGGACGTCCTCCCGACGTGAAAAGCGCTATATCAAATGCAAGGATTATTATTATTATTATTATTATTATTATTACCCTAATCCAAACTGCTTCCTATCTCCACATTCTATTTTATATTTTTCTTTTAAATATTTATAAAATTTCCTTTTTGAAGTATTGCTATGGTCTCTATTTCAATAGCAACCTGTGGCAAAATATTACATGCTCTAACAATCCACTGCATAAAAATATTTCTTCTAATTTTGCCCATAACTGTTCCAGTGACAATCCAGTGAGTTTACGCTCCCTAATTACCATTTTTGCCAATCAACAGGAATGATCTTTCACTATTTATCCTGTCAAAAATGTTCTGCTGGTGCTGAGTTTTCCAAAATCCTGCTCGCTTGGAGTTAGTTACAAATCATGGAACGTTACAGCACAGAAGCAATCCATTTGACCCATCTGGTCCATAAGTGTTGATACTCCACATACCCCTATTCCCTTCTCCCTCATGTGTTTCCTCTTAAATATATTGCTGCTTTGTTTCAATAACAACAAAATTACATTTCTATAGTGCCTTTCACGTTGAGAGTAGGTCCCAAGGCACTGGACAGTCAGATTATCAGACCGAGCTGGGGGTCGGGATTGGGGAGGGCGGATGTTGGTGGTGGGGGGGGGAAAGTAGTGTGATCGAAAGCACGGTCTTGAAGGAGGCGAGGGAGGGGGCGAGGTGGAGGGACTGTCGGATGGAATTCCAGAGGGTGGGGGCAGAAGGCCCGCCTGCCAATGGTGGGGTGGGCGAGGCGGGGGATGTGAAGCAGGCTGGAGCCCGCTGAGTGGAGGGAGAGGGCAGGATGGTAGGGAGTTAGGAGGTCGCAAAAGTAGGGGGAGCAACATTCTAACCAGCCAATGTGTAAATAAGTAGCTCCTGCACTCCCTTCCCGATATGCTACTGACTGTAATCATCCTTGCATTTAATGTAGTGCCTTTCACGTCATCACAGCGTCTCAAAGTGCTTCACAGGATATACTGTGAGGTGGATTGACTGTGCATTTTGCGAGAGAAACGTGCCAGCGAGTTGTGCACAGCAATATTTCACAAACAGGCGTGGAGTGAGTGATCAATTTTATTGGGGCGATTGTTGGTCAGGACAGCGGGAGGAACGCTCTTGTCCTTTTGGACAGCGCCATGGGAGCTTCAAGATGAGATATTAATAATAATCCTTGCATTTGATATAGCGCTTTTCACGTCGGGAGGACGTCCCAAAGCGCTTCACAGAACACACTGTAAAGTGAATTGACTGTCTATTTGTGGGCGAACTGAGACGCTAAACCGTGGCCCCGTCTGCCTGTCCAGGGGAACGTGAAGCGATCCCCGCTGTTCCAGAAGAGGAAGGGAGTTTCTCGGGGCGCCGCGGCCGGCGATGCCCACGGACGAAACTGCTGGCTTCGAACCCGCGGCCGCCGAGCGGGGGGGGGGGCGGCGGCCGCCGCGCTCGCCTGCCAATGGAACAGTCGTCCCGCTTCGCCGCAAAACCCCGCGAGGCGTCTGGAGACGTCCGTCCAACGTGATAAAGGCGCTACAGCAAACACAAGGATTACTATCGTGACGACGACGACGGTGACGACGACGATGACGATGTGCAGTTCGCCGCAGGTCGCCTCCGCCTTGCGCTTCGCTGACGTCACCAAACCCAACCGCCCGCCCGCCCCCCAAAGGCCGGTGCCAGCGGCAATGACGTCACTCCCACTCGCAGGGGGAGGGGGGGGAACGGGACCAGCCGCGATATCTCGCGATACTTATGCGGCTGCTGTCGCTGCGGTCGCGGGCAGGACCCTGCTCTCGCGAGACCCGTTTCGGGGCTGGGCTGCGCGCGCCGTCTCTATGGAGTTGGCGGCCTCGGGGATGATGGCGGATTTTGATGCGATTTACGAAGAAGAGGAGGACGAGGAGCGAGCGCTGGAGGAGCAGCTGCTCAAGTACGCGCCGGACCCGGTGTTGGTGCGGGGCTCCGGACACGTCACCGTGTAAGGCCCGAGCCGCGCCAGTCGTTGTGGTGTTTTTTTTTAGACGAAATAGAAACTTGTCTCCGGGTGAAGCGGGTGATGGGAGTCCCCGGGCCGGGCCGTGGGGGGCCAGGCCGGGCCGTGGGGGGGCCGGGCCGGGGGGGGGGCCGGGCCGGGGGGGGGCCGGGCCGGGGGGGGGCCGGGCCGGGGGGGGGGCGGGCCGTGGGGGGCCGGGCCGTGGGGGGACCAGGTCAGGCCGGGCCGGCCAGGTCAGGCCGGGCCGGGGGGGGCCGGGCCGGCCAGGTCAGGCCGGGGGGCGGCCAGGCCGCGGCCTGGAGCTGCTCCAGAGACACTCACACTGGACAACAGGCAGCCCCGAGGCCTGCGGGGTCTGGAGGCGCGGATCCGCCGAGGCGCAGCTGACATTTTATGACTGTTTTTTATCACCTGGAAGTTACTGTTTGTACTGGAAGTTCCCTCTGCGCTGCAGCCTGAGTCGGGGACTGCTTTCCCACAGTGTGGTGCGTGTTTGCTACCCGAACTGCTGAGTGTTTTGTTGGGTGTGTTTTGTTGGGTGTGTTTTAAGACTCGAGGTTCAGGGTTAGGAGAGCAGCTGAGCATCATTGCTGGAGGGCAGAGTCAGGAGCCAGGGTGCAAAAACAGTACATGTAGCTCAAAACATTAACCAATAGTAATGGTTTCCGGTGCCTGGTGAGATGCTGTTGCCTGCAGTTTTGTTTTGATCTTGTCACTGTTGATGTGTATTCTCTGTGAGATTGACTTGCTCTGCTGCCGCCAGCATTGATACTTCTCGAAGACGTGATACGGCGCTAAATAAAATGCAAGGATTATTATTATTGATCTTTAAGTAATTGTGCTGCTGTGTGTACCAAAAAGTAGATTACACCCTGTCAGATCAGAACTATCATTGCAGAAAAATGCCAAATTTCCACTGCAGCAATAAGTGTGGAAGTTTTGTTAATGAAATTGGAGTGAAACATTTGTTAATGATTGAAAATATATTTATTGTTACACTGTGCAATAAAACCTTTGTGTTTTAAAATCACAATTAAATTGCATGATTTGTGACTGAATTGAAGTACGAATGACTGAATTTGAAACCAATTTTTACAATATCTACAATTTTGTTGTAAATTGTTGAAATATAACACCTTTCTGTAACCCAGTAATGATTGCAACACATTTTTGGCTTGCTCCCAAATGCTTCATTTTGATATTACTGCATCATCAAGTTAGACAAACGATAGACCTAATTTAGGTCTACATGCTTTCATTTAATATAATGTTAATTTCTCAAAATATTTAACAAAAGTCACTTCATTGTGTAATGAATGTTATGTAAGTCTATTTTGTAAGAGTTTGGCATATTGCTAAATAGACCTAATTTAGGTGTAGGTGTTCAGTGGATGTTTCCCGCTCAGCTCCTATTAAACCATGCAAACCAAAGCACTAACAGGTAAGGTGGTCCTAGCTGTGCAAGCAGCAAGAAAACTTGCCAGACGGTGCTTTCAATGGCAAGATATGCAGGTTAAACTCCCAACACTACCTCAATGCACACTTTGGGGTTTCCAAGCCTTGGCTCTTTCCAGCCTGCACCTAATACTCTCCAGAATTAAGTAATCGAGATGCTTCCTTCAGGGCAAGTGTACGCATTCAGATACACAGGAATTTCCATGTTTTTTGATGGGATGCATGGGACTCTGTTTGGATACTCTTAAGCATGCTTAAGATGATTTTCTGCATACCTCAGACGCCCAGCTGACCATAAAGAAATCTTAAGTACTTTGAGTGGGGAGATATTAATATTATTTGATTAATTTTGCTTCTGCTGCATCAAACAATTTTTATAGCACCTGTCACATAGGAGAATGTCTCAAAGTGCTACCTTAGAGTGGGAGCCGAAGCAGAATGGGGTTGACTGAAGTTGACTGAAGTCACAGTCTAAGAAAGGTTTTCAGGTGTCTTAAAAGAAGGGGGAAGGATTTACAGTATATCACAAGTTCAATATGAAAAGTAGTGTATATCCTGGGAATATAATCACATTTAAAGTATGGAAGTGTAATCAAAACTTAGTCTTATCAAGGAGCTGAGAGACCCAAGTTCTGTATGTGAAATCATGAAAGCTGAACCTCCAATCAATTATGTAACTTGCAGACATTAACATTGTGGGATGGAAAAGCAAATGGATAATTAATTTTAAACCTACTGAAATTTGCTAGTATTTTGATCTCTTTAGTGATTATCACCATTCGTTTTTCTTTTTTTAAAAAAAATGTAAACTTCAACAGGGCTATAGTAAATTACAGGCCTTTTGTCTCTTTTTGGTGTTTCTAAAAAAAAAAGACCCAACCAGCCGCACGTTTTTCCTCGGACCAGTTATAATGTGCTGTTTAATATTTTTGATTTGAGACATTGTGGAGTCCTGTAGTTTGGTGGTTGGAGCACTCACCTCGCAAGCAAGAGACCTGGGTTCGATTACCGGCAGGGCAAAACCTTGGGCAAGTTTCCTTACTCCACATGCCTGGTAATAATCCATCAAGAAAAAAAAAGAAAAATAAATTGGTCACTTCAATCCACGACTATTTGTCTATCTAGTGACTCTAGAAAGTTTGAATGTATGAATGTCAACTGAGGAGAATATTAGGCTTGGGTTATTCTTTTGTTTGCCTCCTTCCCACCATGATCTTACAGTGTGCAATTGCTCATAGTCTTGGCTCACACATTATGGGTTTAAACACAAAGAATAACCATTTTACAGGGTATTGGAGTGTATTAGGCATGCGATCAACAGTGGATAAGGGGAAATAAAGCTTGTGCAGTTGTTCCAGTGTTAATCCATGTACAATTAATAATAATCATAATAATAATCCTTTCATTTGATGTAGTTTCTTATCACGTCGTCGAGCTATGTCAAAGTACTTCACATGATATACTGTAAAGTGGATTGTCTGTATTTTGTGGATGAATGCAGGAGATAACTTGTGCACAGTGATGTCCCACGAACAGCCATGGAGTGAATGACTATTTTTATTTGAGGGGTTTGTTGGCCAGAACACCGGGAGAAACTTCGCTTTTTGAATAGTGCCATGGGATCTTTGACGTCCACCTGAACAGTTAAAAGTGACCTCAGTTTAACATCTCATTCGATGGATGGCATCTCTGACAATGCAACAGATCCCCACACAGCTTAGACTATGTAATTTCAAGTCCCGATATGGGGACTCTCGCTTGAACCCAAACCTTCTGACTCAGAGGTGAGAGTGCCACCACTGCACCAGGCTAGCACAGCTCTCACCTGGTCACCACTAATTCCTGAATTTAGCATACTTCAAGCTGCTCATCTGTCTGACTGTAGTCTTTGGCCCACAAAATATACAGTTAATTCACTTTACAGTATATTCTGTGAAGTGCTTTGAGGCATCTCGAAGACATGATAAGGCGCTATATCAAATGCAAGGATTATTATTATTATTTCAGATACCAGCTTTCTGACTAATTCACAGCATTATCTTCCTATTATCTTTCCCTAAATACAGTATTTACAGTTATGCCCTCAGTTTTACTTCCAGAAGTAATTAGTTATTTCTTCCAGTTGTAAAATGATTAGGAGTATGAAGCTTGATGTATTTCCTGCTTTATAATCGGATTGGTCTGGGATTGAGGAAAGTTCTGCACGTATACAACTAAGTATATTCATAGTGCTCTGCAAACTGACCTCAAACACCAATATTATCAAAGATTGTTCCTTAACTTTCAAGGGACTTTTTTGTTAGCAGAGGGGATATTCATTTGCCAAGTATGCATTCATAATAATCATAGTATTTGATCTAGTGCCTTATGTCAAAATGTCTCGAAGTGCTTCACAAAAGTTTCTATAAAAGATAGTGAAGTTCATAATCCAATGCAGCGGTGGGGGAGCACTGAGTCGTTTGAGGCAAAACCAGCAGCCAATTTGCTCTTTGTAATGTCCCACCAACAGCCATGAAATTATAAATGTTTAAAATTCAAAAATGGTTTGATAAGATTATACATAAGTGGGCTGTTTTCACTGTTTGGGGAGTCCGTAACCAGGGCACACAGGTATAAGATAGTGATTGGGAAATCTAAAAAAAGGATTTAGGAGGAACTACATCACACAAAGGATTGTGAGTTTGTGGAACTCTCTAACTGAAGTGGTTGTTGGATCAGATCGTATAGATGCATTCAGTTTATCTTCATATGAGGGAGAGGTGAATAGAAGCATATGGGAGGGATTAAAGAATGGTTGAAGACTTTTGTGCAGTATAAACACAGACGTAGGCTGTTTGGGTTAAGTGGCCCTTTTCCTTGCTGTAAATTCTTTGAAAATGATCATTTTTGTTGATCTGGGGTATTGTTGGCCAAGAAACTGGAAGAAGCTCCCTTTTCTTTGGATAGTGTTATGGGTTCTCTTACGTCCTTCTGAATAGGCAGATGGAACCTAAGATAAACATCTCACCCAAAGCACGACATCTCGAGCAATGGGACTGCCCTCCCAACACTGAATTGGAGCATCATCTTAGACTGTGACTCCTAGGGTTTGAGCACACAACCTTCTGACTTCAGTTGGTAGCGTGCTACCAACTGGGTCAGGCTGACACCTGGCATTGATGTGAATCACTTTCGTAGCTAAACCACTACCTCAATGTAGTCTAGGCAGTTAGTATCCTCAAACCAGACTTGTACCGTTTGTAACAAATCACTGATCTTTTGTGCTAAATTGAAGTGAAAAGGTCAAGGGAATTATGATTTGGGAAACTTTTATAAGAAAAGGTTTTAACACACAGTCTACTTGCAGATTAACCCTAGACAATTAGCACAGCCCCATGTATTTCATCTTTAAGGCATTCTTGGAACATAACTGCCTTACCTGATTATTGTATGCAAAAAAACAGTGAAAGCGATACTGTCATAGTTTGAACCCAAAATAAAATTACTAAGAAACAAATGCTGTTAAATGGAAGGGCAATAGATGATTTGACCTTTATTGCAATAATAATAATAATAATAATAATAATCCTTGCATTTGATATAGCGCTTTTCACGTCGGGAGGACGTCCCAAAGCGCTTCACAGAACACATTGTAAAGTGAATTGACTGTATATTTGTGGGCGAACGCGGCAGCCAATTGCGCACAGCAATGTCCCACAAACAGTCGTAGATTGAAAATGACCAATTTAATTATTGTTTTGGGTTTTTTGGAGGGATTATTATTAGGCTTTGTGTGGAGTAAGGAAACTTGCCCAAGGTTTCGCCCTGACCTGCCTGGAATTGAACTCAGATCTCTCACTTGCAAAGCGAGTGCTCTAACCACTGAGCTACAGGACTCCACAATATAACAACCGAAGCATGACAAAAAAAAATATGTATCTTTATGCTGCTTATCCAGCTACAAGGGTTAACAAGAGCCTAGTGGTAAGAATCCCTGCCCCCAGTGACTGGTCTGCCCCCCCGCCAGCCCAAGTTCAACTGACAATTTTGGCTGGTTGATCTATTAGCAGAACATCTCGTTTGCTCTTCAAGTTACAGTATAATTGCCTTCTGAATTGTGAAATTATTACTGCATTTGTAACAACAACTTGGATTGCAAATATTCAACAACAATAGCTTGGATTTATAAAGCACCCCTCAATTATCATGTGGAGTTAGTGGGAGCAAATTTGTTCCAATTTTGATAATGGCAGTAGTTGTCTCAGTAAAGGATGCTCTGTTGTTTAATTTGACATTTAAATACTGTATTAAAGATTTTAATTTCTGCAGGTTTTATTAAGCAATGCTCAATAATTAATAACCAGAAATTATGGCACCTTACATTTGTCTAAAAATAAAGATGACATTCTTTATATCTGACTAGTGCAAGATTAATGCATTCCATTCACTGAAGAAGTAATCCCAAATCCGCTGAACCAATGGAAACTGCATGTGTACAGCAGAACAGTTTTAAGTGGTAAAAGTCGTATGTTTTTTGTCACACAATTCTCAGACTTAAATTTGTTTAATTAAATTTATTTATTTGTTTGTTAATATCTATTCTGATGTTTTACTTGATTTTTCCTGTTAGTGGGTTACAGTTCTATAGTTGCGTCCAATACTGGCTCAAGTGGTTGTTTATTAATGTGTGAGCCTTTGGTAGTTTAGAGTTAGCAAGCTAATTGAAGAGCAAAGCACTGGAGAAGAGAAGGTTGTAGATATTTTCTAGATCCTAAAATATATATGCATGTTTAATAATATCTATATAATATATATGTATACATACTTATAGGTGTGTGCTTGTGTATAAATTATAAATCTAGTGTTAAATAATAGTTTTTGATCTAGTCAATCCCTAGCAAAGGGATCACAGAAGTAAGATTGTGGTGGGGAAACATTATCAGACTGTTGCGTGAAAGCAGATGAAATAAAATTAAAACCTTATTTAATAAAATGTGGAATATTCACTTTTGCTACATAATTTTTCTGAATCATCAGTTTTATCTAAATTTGAATCCTTTCTACTCTGTTCTGGTGTAAACTATCAAGACTGGCGTCTAATTTAAAAGTACTCATAGGACTCCTTGATGTCTCATTGTACTGTATAGTTTGCTCATAAGGTGTTCAGTCAAAGCAGTCTAGTTTTATTCTCCTGCTCATTAAGATATTGTAAGGTTTGGCATGGGGAAGCCAACAGCCAGCCTTGGTCATGCTCCTGAATGTTGTCCACTAATCTCTGTTGGACATATATGTGAGAATGGGTTTTAACTTGCTGTATCATATGCACATGTAAAACAATGAAAGACCTATTTTTGAAATAAAAGTACAACTCATTGGCCTAATGGGATATACTACAAGTATATTAATTAGAAATGTAAGATCATTCGTTCAAAGTCCAGTAATTAAGGGAGAGCTCTTGAATGTCCACTAGGCTTGCTACAAGTTTTGAGCTAAAAACTAAAGCAATAATACAGTAGTAAACTAAATTTAAAGTTAGTGTTCAAATTCGTATGACTCTGCAGTACTTCAAGTCTAATTAATATCAAATTTGTTCAGTTAAACTCTTACCAGCCTTGTAACTTCTTTCCTCCAGAGTAAAGCCCAAGCAGATCAGAGTGGACCATAATGTCAGAATGTGTCTATTCACTTAAATAATCATTCAACTGTCTCTAAAGTTCAGAGGTGCATGAAAAACATAACTGACATTAGTTTGGTTCACTAAAAGGCAAGTCAGCCTTTTATAATTCTGCCTAAGCTCAAAGCTTCACAGCATTTTTTGTAGTACATTCTTGTCTAAGTGTACAAAGGTGCTAGGGTCAGAAAGTAATAATTCAGATGCAGTTCCAACCAAAAAGTCCTGTGGTATCAGTTCTTATTGTGGAAAACACTTGTTATGAAAACGGTCTTTTCAAGTTTGGAGTTTGAGAAAGTACGAGTGAGCACCATTTGGCAGTATGATGTGAGGACAAATTATTGCTGAAAATTCACTTGCGTGGTACGTTACCATGGTCGTGCATTTGAGGAATCCAACCTCAGTGGAGACATTTCTCGAGGAGTAAAATATTTCGACGCGTGCACAGAGACTAATTGACATTGATTGACATGTCTCCCAAGTGGCTCTTGCATGGGTCCAGGAAGCTGATTCATACTGCATGGGCCTACATAATATGATTAATATGAAAACAAGTTCATATATCCAGCTGAACTTGCTCCAGGGAGACGAGCTTGGCACCAGAATGTTTACATTGAGTCACCCTCTGTGGTGGTCTTGGTTGTCTTGTTCCTGAGCTAGGTGGGTCTGCAGTTCTCTAGGGCACTACTGATGAGCAACCAGCCACCCTGGTTCATAGGTAGGACTGTGAGTTTGGTTTCTTGCCACTCCAATTAACATTTTGAACACAATTTTTTTTGCATTCCTTTCTGCAATGATTTTATTTTACATTAATGAACGGGTGTCTGATTTGAAGTTGGATAATTAGATTGACAAACTTCAACTAAAAATCTCGTGACTACAATTGATTTCTTCAAATGGATTGAGAGTTGTATGTTCTAATTTGTTTTGTCATTTCAGGTTTGGTCTGAGCAACAAATTTGAATCAGAATTCCCTTCGTCACTCACAGGAAAGGTAATTTTTTAAAAACTTCTCGGGGAGGGGCAACAGAAACTTGCAATTAAATAGTTTTGATCAAACTTTAGGTGCTCAGGTGATGTTGTTTTGTAAATGTATGAGATGTTAATGTTTTGTAGTGTTAACAGATATTTCCCATTTTATAAAAGTGCACTTCTCAATAAGACTTTCTTCCTCAAGCAGACAACCAATTTGCACAAGTGCAAGATTAACACTACCCAAGTTCGATTGCTAATCCTACACCTTCATTTGAGTTTAATAAATCTATTTTGGTACATTATTTGTCGTAACTCTATGATCATTTTCACTGCAAAAAATGTAAATACTTTCCTCTTTGCGAGTATCATCGAGGCTGAAAGAATCAAAACCAAGTTGATCAGCATTCGCTACATAGTAGCTTCGGTAGTTAATTTTTTTCCTTTCTTGAAACAATGTGACTAGTTGTTATGGTCAGCAGCATTTTAATCAGCAATTGATGAAAATCATTTGAGATGTCTTGAAAAAGTGATCTGAAAATATACAGCAGCATGACTGCTCCAATTAAGTGATTAGCATTCTAGTCATTTATAAATATCCAATTAATTATGGTTTTCCTGTGTTTTGCCCTTTCCTTCTAAACATTCCTATTTTGCACTGTATATAGCTTTGGAATGCTATATATGCACCACGATACTGAATTCAAAGATTCGGAATCATGCAAACGTCATTAGATTAATATCTTGCATGATGATTATACAATACAATTTATACATACATAGCACCTTTCACATCCGGAGGAGGTCTCAAAGCAAATAATAGAAGCTATAGTAAGAGCAGTAATTAAACAGTGGGTTTTGTTTCTACAAACTTTTCTAAAGTTGGTGCTGCCACCATTTTCCAGTAGTGAATGAACAAGGCCTCTTCAATCTTTTCTGTCTCCTTGTCTCCTGCTGGTCGAGCACATTTTATAGAGCTGATCTGTAATTTTGCACTTAACTAAAAGGAATCGGGAAAAATATCTGAAACAGTAAATGAAGACCCAGCACAAAAACAAAATCACAGGCAAGTCCCAAGAAGGCCTCTTAAGAAGGCTTAGAAGTAATTAGCAATCTGATAGAAGCTGTTTGTTTTTTGACTCCCATGTTATTTTATTCTCTTCTATTGGTAAACTGTACTTTATATCATGGTTAAAGAAGAATTATTTACAAGAATATTTGTTTAGCATGTCCTTGTGAAGCAACGATCAGTGGTTTTAACATTTACAAAGATCCATCATATTAAATCAGTTGGGCTTCTGCTGTGCTTTTCAGATCTTTTTCCAAATTTTGAAACTTGGTCAAATGTGTAACATGGAATGTACTATACCATGAAACACCTGCAAGGATCCTTTTGTATCGATAAATGCTTACAGCACAAATATGTTGCATGTATAATTGCTTATTTTTAAAAAACTAACAAACAAAAATAATTCCAAATGCATGGAGTTCCATATAGCTTTTGAAATTTAAGAAAATTAAGAGAATCTAAGAAAATTCTTATACCAATTTTATTAAAGAGTGACTAATGGGTTTTTCGAGGGCTTTAGAAGGTTAATTTCATTTAGAGGGTTTTTTGAAGATGTTCTCCTGGATTGGGTGATTTTTTAGAAAATATAGATTATAATTTTTTAAAGAAATTGTCATGTTAAGACTTGAAGTAAAGACATAATATGATGTAATAATATGATTAAAGCTATTCACCGTCAGAAACTTTGGATTTAGTCCCTAATGATTTGACTGTTTTGCCTTGACAGGTTGCACCTGAGGAATTCAAGGCTAGCATTAGCCGAGTTAACGGTTGTTTAAAGAAGAATCTTCCTGTCAACGTGCGGTGGTTGCTTTGTGGCTGCTTATGCTGCTGCTGTACCTTGGGCTGCAGCATGTGGCCAGTAATCTGTCTCAGTAAAAGAGTAAGTTATCTTGAAATATTTTAAGATCTCCTCCATTTACTACAATTGATGTTGATGCTTTGAAGACAAAATAATTTCTCAGTCTATTCCAAATTATGTTTGTGCAGGACATTTGAATACTTCAAAGTATTCATACCCATTTTTGGTCATTTAGACCTGTTTATAATTAATCCAAAGTTTACACCTACTGTCCAGATCATCTTTCAAAGAAAATCTAAGAGAATTAATATCCTAATTTTATTAAATGATGATTAATGTTTTAAAGTTTTTTTTTGAAGACTTTCTTCCGGATTATGAATTGTTAGGAAATATTGATCTTGTAATGATTTTCTAAAATATATAACAATTACATACATTTCATAATTAAATTACATTTGATACTAGAAACAGAATTGAATAAATATCTGACTAACTGTGGTTTGACAGTCATTAAACCTAATCTTGGGTAACTTCAGAATTTAATGGAGAGGTTGAAATTGATTGACAATATGTTATGTTAAATTATTTTTAAAATAATTTTCAGGCCTTACAGTTGAAATCAAATAACATGTGGATAATTTTGTTTTCATTAATGCTGCAAACCAACTTAGATTACATTTAATTTATAATAAATGCTGTCAAACAATAAAGTCAGAAGGAACCAAATCTCACAGAAATGATGTGTACTTAATCTTTGGGTTTGATTGCATATACAGTATTTACATTGCAGGATCTTTTGTGAAATCAGTCAGTGTTAATGTATGAGGCTATGCCAAGAGATCCCTTCTTAAGGAATTTTTGGCAATATGCCCAGTGAGCATTTAGTAGAAAACCGCAGTGTATTATCAGATTGGAGTCTCCATTGTGCCTCATCCTCAGATGTTTCAGTAACATACTGAGATGAGAGCTTTAAATGAAGCTTTGTATGAGGACCATGTGAAAGCTGCTGTAAGCCTCCATAAATTTATTCATTCTTTTCTTCTAAATTATTAAGATTACTTTGTGCAAAGATTTGCATCTAGATACTAGCAACATTGCAAACTATTAATTGAGTAATTTTACTGGCTGCAATAACAAGCCTTATAGTATGATACTGTATGTGCAATACTCAATACTGCTGGAAAGGTTTGTAGATTGATTTTGGAAGGCATTTTCAGGAACATATCAGCAGACTTAAACTAAATTGCTTTTACTTAAGAAATGTATTAATTTATATTGGAACATGTTCTTGCACAGGATAGTACCTTTAGCGTTTAAGTGGATCATTCGGTTCCCAAACGGAAAGGTCTTATTAAATTTTTATTTATTTAGCTCATATAATAGAATGTATATCTGAACTCTGATTGGGATTACAATGCACTGACGCCACACTTATAATAAAATAATCCTTGCATTTGATAAGCAGCCTTATTACGTCAAACCGTCTCAAAGTGCTTATCAAAACGTTACTTTAAAGTGCAGTGAATATTCTGAAGGAACTTATAAAGGAAAAGTGTGAATATCTGCACAAGCAGTGTCTCACAAACAATGAGTTGAGTAGTCAATGAATCTAATTATTCTTTAGGATGAATTTTGATGACGGAAGTATATGGTCTGCAATATGTCATATTTGTATTTAAATTTTCAGAGAAGTAAAAGTAAATTACAAACAATAAAAGTGGGAGAAAACGGAAAAGATTAAAAATGGGAAAAGACATGAAGGTTAAAAGTGAGGAGCTCAGATCCAGATTGGCAGACGATGCTAAAAAGGTTCAGTATCTGGATCAGGCACATTACCTCCCCAGGTTTGGTTTGTCTGTGACTCCTTGGCTAGAAACCTAAAGTGAGTCCCTTGAGTTAGAAGGAGCTGCAGTCTCTGTGATTTAATATCTCCCAAGAAAGGTGAGGTCTAATTTTAGAAATCTTCTGGTGCTTAGATGTTTGAAATGATGACATCCCATGTTGCTTCAGGGACCAACCAAATCCTAGGGTTTTATTCATAGGACAAATTCCCACCTAAACGCATTTCTATTGGAGTGCAGCATGTGGCCAGTAATCTGTCTTAGTAAAAGAGTAAGTTATCTTGAAATATTTTAAGATCTCCTCCATTTACTACAATCGATGTTGATGACCTGTAGCTCTTGTTGCATTTTTTTGTTTAAAAAAAACCCTGTGTGTAATCCAAAGTGTGTGCAGCCGATCATGTTTTGCACAAAAAGACATCTGGGTCATTCGCTTGCCACTGAGGTCCGTTATTCCACATTGCATATGCGCAGCACACTTAAGTGATAGCGGTGACCTGATGACTCAGAATTCAGCCATTTTATAGTGTGGCAAACAGCTGGTACACAGGGAGTGAGTCCACTGGCTGCTCACATACACAGTGAAACCAACTGTCATGCCTTGTTATAGAACAGGTTGGGATTTTATAGTTCCCAACCACCGTATTGTAACAGGGCTCCATTGTACATAGTTTCTCTGATCACAATGTTTAAATGCTGAGATGGTATGATCCAACCTGCATCAGCAGGACAGTTAACTTAAAGGCACTATGCAAATGTAATCTTGTTGTTATTGTTGTTTATTTGATCCACTGGGGTTAATTTGTAGTTTACCCTGAATGTAAACAGCAGTAGTTAAATCTGTTATTGTAAAGTATGCTTGACTAAAATACATTTTGTGTGGGGGAAGAAAGCTTTGGCATATAACCTTTTTCTTTCGAGGGTAAGCAGATTAGCGTTTAATTTATATTAAAAGTACCTCCTTGTCATCAATCTCTCTGCAACCACTCTATCATTGTCCAGTAACCTTCCTCTTGGTGCACCTCCACGGCACCAAACTTTTCTGGTTCCATTCTTGCCTGTCCCAATATATTCTGTGATGATTTCTTGTCCTATCCCTGTTCAGTCACTTGCAACATTCCCTATAATAGTGCTCCACCCCAGGTTATCTTCTTTCCCTTATTTGTATACTCCCCATTGGTGACATCATCAACAGACTTGGATCCACTGTCGTATTAATGTGAATGACACCCATCTTTACCTCTCTGCTTCACCGTTGATTACAGGAACACTGCAATCACAACTGAGCCAGTTTGACCATGCACCTAATATTTTATGTCGCTGACAACTGTAGCTCCCATTTGCCTGTGGGTATTAATGAGCATTTTCTTTGCCGAATTGGATTGTTTAATCTTTATTCATAGTTCATATGGATTTTGAAATTTGATTGCGCAAATTAATCATGGTAAACTAGAATCATAGAGTTATGTCATGTTTGTGCGAAGGAAAGGGGTTAGAAAAATCCTGTTGCCTGACCCAAATTCCCTGGCAATATGCAGTGTGAGGTTGCATAGAAAAGATAAACGGATGTGGTAAGGGCAACTGATTTGAGAGTGGACTGCATTACTATAAATTGTAACTTTAAAAAATGGCTTGTAGGATTTCACAGAAGGTTGATATTTTCTTCAGTTTTTCTCCTTTCTTGGAGGTGAATTTGCTGTAATTTGTGAATTTGTAATCCTCAGTTAATTTTATTACAAATTAACTGGGGATCTCCGTTTTATAAGTATTAGCTTCCCTTCAGTATCTCGACACAAGTAGACATTCTTTATATGTAAACCTAGAAAATTTATATTGCCCCTATATTTGAACATTGAAGGGAGAACCTCACAGTTAATGGGCCAGTATTGTTTTTGCCTTTTATTTGCATACTTTGTTGCAGGATAGTGGTTAAAATTGCTTGTGTTCTTCCCTTCCCACCTCTTCGTACTCCTGCAAAATCTCTTTTCTTTCACCCCGCATCCCCCAACCAATTTGGTTTGTCATTGTCTGATAGGAAGTGAATTAGAACTGGCCCAAATTTACTGTGTGATCTTGAAGTGAATTGCACATTTTTTCCCAACACCAAGACAAACATAGGAAATGTTTTGGGAAATGATAGGCTTGAACTTGGGTTCTTTTATTCGGTGCCACAGTACATTTGAGTGTCATTATGCTTTCTAACCCATATGTCCTATTTTGAAATGACTGTTTAAAATACATAGATATGCATTTGGGTTAAAAATAAGTAAATCTGTTCATTTAAAAGTGGTTTCCAGTTCTGTAGGATAAACTCTGAGGACAATGCCTCCAATGGCAGTAAACAGCATAAATGTTTTCAATTCATCACAATTTTGTAATTCCATCTTTACAAAAGTTGAAAAAATATAGTGGTGCTTTTTCAGGGAAGTAGGAAAGGACTGTTCACTTATGCTAATTTGGTCAGTTTTTCAAATGTACGATTATAAAATACTGTTTTCTTAGAAGTCCCTAACTGAAATGTAGTTCTGTATGTAAAAAATAGTTTTTAAAAATGGTTTAGGCATAAAAATGATTGACATTTTGGTTAATGAAGTATTTGTCTTTTTGCACAAAGGTGTGTTACGGTAATATTTCTGTTTAAATATGTTCAGTTAACTGCCATTATTTTATATATGGCATTTTTTAAAAATAAGGTAGAGATTGAGAGTTTTTTTTCTTTGCTGTGAATTACAGGCATTTTACCTCCATTTGGGTAAAAAGTTAACTGTTGATTGTTCACTTTTTCACCTGCTTCTCACTATAAATCACTATAAATGTCAAGGGCAATGATTAATTAGGCTGCACGTGCAAATGCTTTTGTCACCTGTCAGGCTGTAAAGAAGATGCATTATTGGAGATGAGGAAATTCCTTTTAGTTCACTGAGTTGTTCGTTTGATATGCAGAGCAGCTTGCCCTATACTTTCTCCTTTTGTTTTATATAGTACTTTCAGGTGCAATTGAAAATCCTTTCCATAACTTTGTAAAGGCAGTGTTGATTATTTGAATTGATTTTTAACGTGGAGCTAAGGAGATCAGCAGTTGAATTTGTTTTAACATTAACATTATTCTTGTATTCTGAAGCTATTAAACATATTCTTTATGCAACCCTTGTTTTTGTAACAAATATTTGAATAGTAATGACGCATTATTAACTCATAGCTGTAAACCTTTCAATTCAAAAGCTGAGAATTCAACTGTTATTTCCTTAATGAACATTTCTTCTTAAGATCAACAATGTAACATGCTTTTAATGGCAGAGCAATTCAAAGCTGGAAGCTTCACTTGTTCTTTCCACTCCCCATTGCTCTTTGGCTGAAAAGAATTCTGAATTCGCAACTGATTTCGTGCACGTAGCTCTAACTAAAGTGGCATTTTTTAAACTTTATTTCACACTCAGTCATCAGCTCTTTAATAACACAAAAAGCATCATTTAAAAGTTCTTGGTTGGTCATTTGTCTATTTGATTTTTCGTGCTTGCTCCTGAGAAATTAGATAGCAGCCTTTTCACTTACTGTAAAATGCCACTCAAGTTCACCCAACGGGAGATATAAATTCCAAGGAGTGAAAATAATCATCCCCATAGTTTTACTTCCCTTTCCCTCCCAGTCTTTTATTTCTTTCACAGGATGTTCAGTGTTTCATCTGTCATCCTGACTAATATTTGGGGAAACTCTTCCAACAACCCAGGCAAATTCAAATATTAGTTGAGGCTGAAGTTAAAATGTACCACCCTTCAGTTGGGACTCCTGCCATTATCATTGGGACTTGTTGGCCCGGCCTGGTTGTTGCAGTGATTTTCCCCTCCCTAGCCCTGGGAAGGCCGGGACAAATGTAACCTTTCGTGCGTGCAGCCTGGCTATGACTAACCCACTCAGTATGGCCATAAGCTACAGTTGTATCCATTCTGCCATCGGGCTGCTTTAAAACAGCATTTTTACAACAAATTTATAGAATTAGAACTGCATCTTTCTATTTCAAGCATATATATTCAAAGTTTCTCCTCTCCCCATCACTTCTTCTGAAGGCATTTAGCTAACTCCTTTTTCCTTACACTGAATTCCACGGGCACTTGTAATAGCCTCCAATAGGCCAAGAGGTGAGTTTAACGGTGAGTGTTGCAGTGCCATTCAGTTGCACAGGGTATAGCTTAACGTTGTCCTCCCCTGGCACCCACATATGCATATCACATAAGTAATAGACCACTGGATACTATCACAAAAGAATCCTGACTGATTTTCCTTCCATGACGTAGGTTTAATGAAACTAATTATAGTACCCTCACTGCTACTCTGGCTGCAATCAGCTCATTCAGTACAGATTTGAATTTGCACCTTTCTGATCTGTGTAGTCAAATGTTGCAATGCTTTTACAACTAAGCCATCTAGGGAGCCAGCATATGTTGTATTGCATGTCTGCAGCTACTGAATTGGGTAATGTGCAATCCCTTTTAAACAAATTTTATGCACTATTTGAAATTGATAAACATTAATGTACATCTTTATGAAAGATGAGTAGGGGGAAATGGGTAGATCATAAATTTGGGAGATCAACTGCGAACATTAATTTCCTGATACTATGTCTTAGTTTGGCGTAATGTATGCTGACAAGCTTGCTGGAAATTGTATTTTTGTAATTTGTAGAACCCTTCCCCCACCCCCTTTATTGTGGTTCGGTCATTTGCAATTTGTGTTTCATGAAGCTTCAGTTATCATGCTTGAACAGTCTTGCAGCTTGTGTCAAAGTTTTTGTTCTAGCCTGTAATGTGATTGCCACCAATAGCTCACTTGGAATTCACTTTTGTTGAGAAATACAACTAATGTAGAATACAGGTGGCCAGCATTGACAAAAACAAAAATTAGGTATATCCTTTACTTAGCATCAGTACTGAAGGGATGCTGAGGAGTAGAATCTGCAGTTTTGTATTAGTGTCACCTTCGGATCAGCAGCGGGTGGGCAGGCAGATGCCAGTTTGAAATAGAAAAACGTAGTACCGTCTTTTTCCATTGATAAAGTAGCCTTTCAGAGTCAATGAGCTCTGTCAATGCAAGCTTGTCAAGGCTACAACTTCATAGACCTGAGAGGCGGTTTGAGAGGTCAGGCCTTTTCAGATTCGCTGTGATGCAAATGAACTTTGCTGCTTAAACAACTATTGGAATTTTTATGTCCGCTCCTTGTCTGTTTCACAAAGTCATTGACGAGACATTCAGTGCTTTTTAAATTGGGGTAGCATTGTGATAAAGACCAAGTACAGATTTACGGAGGGCTGAAAGCAGTTAGATCATGTTCTTTTCATGGTACCATTAGAATCAAATCGATTTCCCTCCAGCCTTCAGAATGGCAAATTTTAACAAAGCTTTGGGAGCTAGACAAGAACTAGAATGACTGAACTGAATGTTAATTACACTCCCCAAACTTCTTTTTATTTTACACAAACTAAAATTGTAAAACGAATGTCACCATAGCTTTCATATCCTATACATCCAAACAGATTACATATAAAAAAAGCTACCTTAAAATAGTTAAATAACTATTTTCATCTGACCATAGTTGGATACTGTTCCGGTATTCACAAAAAACATTTGGAGTTGTTAGATGCATTTCAATTCAAGCTTTTCTAACAGCATTTTCAAAGAAAACAAGACATTTTAGCAACAGAAAGACTGCATTAAGACCAACAAATGTGTCCTTTTTTGAAAGACATCTCTACCTCCATGATTTTGCACTATATCCTTCAGTGTCTTTCTCCAGAAAATGCATCAGTGCCCTCCTAAATCTATTTGAAACTATTTGCTTCACCAACCTTTCCATAAGTCTGACATCCTTTTTTTAAAAAAAACTTGTGCCTGACTTCACTTACTTCTGACATTCTATTTTTGAGATGTTTTCCCTAGTATTTAAGCTCTTTGATAAATTGCTGAGTAAAGCGTTTCTGACGGCTGAAATTGTATTTGTTGTTCAACTTTATAATCCCCTTAGTTTTTGGAAATGTTTCGTTTATTCTCCCTTATTTACAAAATCTTCTGATAAGTCTCACTCGTCCTGACGCTAAACCCAATGGATAAACCTGTACTATATACATGGCTTTTGCCTTGCTCTCATAGTCCCAACTTCAGAGAAACTCTACAGTTGAGAATTAGTTGTGTTTTTCTGGCATCTTCAAAGTTTTGACTTTCCAGTTTGTAGTACAAAGTAACAAAGACTGGAGCTGCTCACTTGTTTGTCAAATTATTTGTTTGAGGAACATTTATTGTATCCAGTGTTGGAAACTTATATATATCTGCAGCTATGGATTTTGGACGCTTAGTCTTATCTTCACACCAACTAAAGAACATGGTAATAATGCTTGTTATCTGTTACATGTATGTGCTTTCCATTTGTATGATTGAACAAGCAATACATGTCTTTAATATGGGAGTCTCATGTTATGTCCGTATAACTGTTTTTGTTGTGTTTAGAATTGCAGAGAATTAAGTCTCCAAAGTGTTCAATATTCACAAGTAGTATATTTTAGAATGGAACAGACATTAATTTCTCAGAAGACTTTAACACTACAAACTTCCACCTGTTGAACAAGCTGAAGCATTTGCTAACAACGTTTTGAGAAGCATGTCAGTCACTTTTAATGGGTTAACTAAATTCTGCCTTTCGGGGAGAATTGTTCTATTTTGTATGATTTTTACAGTCTTTTTCTTAAATGATGATACAAGCCAAAGATTTGATAAATTAACAGTCTATTAAAAAATGGTACACTTTTGCTGAATTCTTATGAAGCTGCAATAGGAGTAACTACATGCCTTACCTGTTTTGTTTTGAGCTGTCATCATTTTAAACAGCAATATACTTTGTTAGCAGCAGCTGCATGAGTGGTGTGCAGTTGAACTACAGGGCAATGTCTAATGGCTTTTCTGCACCTGCAGTTGAAGAGGCTTATTTTGGCACCTGGCTTCATCACTTATTCCCCCCTTCTCCTTTTCTTTTCTCAAAAAACAATATTTCTCTGGTGCCGTCAAGGACTAAGTTCTCTTTATATGTAATGATGTCATTTTTTTCCCGAGTGATATGAGGGGTGTAAATCCAGTGTTTTATAATCATGCTCTGTGTCCAATATTGTGTTATCTATAATTCAGATTCACGTACATAATGAGGAAATCTAAAATCGTGTTCTTGAAAATGAGACTGTATAAATAAGATGAAGTGCAATGCAAATTCAATATCTAATGGTTTTCACTTCATTGTGCTAGAGCAAGCAGAGTTTTAAGAATGATCTATGATTTTTAAACCGTAATAAGTTCATTTGGGATAAGAGATGCAGTTCTCCAGTCCCTACATTTGGTTGTGTTTGAAGCTAAATCTAATGGAAAGTGTGTCTTTTCGAACAAGAAAATTTAAATTATGTTTTTTTTTAAATCCGACTTATGATTTTTGATACTAATTAAAAAGATTTAATATGATTTCAAGAAAATAATATAATTGTATTTTAGATTTTGCAAAGGTTTTTGATCTGATGCCAGATTTAAAGGATTTTAATTCTAGATAAATGTGTTCTTGGTGAACTTGTCTTTTTTACAGACATCCGAGCACCGATATTTTTGGAAGTGTATGTATAATTAAATGTCATCTTTGCAACAACTTCTAAGTATGGTATTCTGAATTTAATATCAATTGCTGTCATTAATGTTGGAATTCCATGCATGCATTTTTAGGGTGACCTTTAGCAATTAATGTAATATTTGAATGAAAGTTATTTTAAAAAGTAATAATTTTCTCCTTTGTCACTGCTAAAAGCCCTTTAAAAGCTTGCCAAGTGGGGAGGAGGGGAATGAGAGGCATTTCTATTTCTAGTTACTATTTAACACCAAAGGTGCTTTGACAACACACAAGGCCTGTGGCATAGGACCACCCTGCATTCAGTCACTGTCCCAACACCTCTCTGCCTTTTCCATTCACACAAGCAGCTGCACTGCAAAGTTTTTCAAAAACCAGTCAAGAGTAAAATTCTACCTCATTTGTCTTCCAGACACGAAGATCGATCGAGAAGTTATTAGAATGGGAAAACAATAGGTTATACCACAAGGTGAGTGCCGCAGGGAGCAACTTTAGCATGGGGTTCAGTCCATTGGGGACTGAATTGCACAGTATGGAAACAGATGCTTTTGTTGGTAGAAAAATATGAAAGATGGATAAATGGGTTTGTCTAGATCCAGCAATAAAATGGAAGTCATTTTTCTTCCCTTTCTCCGTTTCTTTTCCAGCTGTGCTTGCACTGGAGACTGAGCAAAAGGAAATGCGAAACCAATAACATGATGGAATATGTAAGTTAAAGGGCTGTTTTGTTACTTTCTCTATTAAATGATCATTTATTTTGCTTCTGATCTTATTCTTTTAGCAGTTATTAATCAGAAAGGTGTCAGGCTACTTAACCGCTTGAGTGAGAAGATTTTTTACGGTCCACAGATGCACATATTCACGTGCAGGGCAGATTTATAAAGTTATGAATGGCCTGAAAACAAGGCTTTCACTGTGTTCTGAAAATAATAAATTAATTGCCAGAATAGACTAGCTGTGAGGTGCCTTAAGGGGGCGTGGAGTTAGTTTGTGTGTGCCCAAAGTGAAGCATCTTTGTATAGGTTTATCACAAAAAATCTTAACGTATTGTAACTATGCAAAGTCAAGTTATAATTGCTCATTTAAACACATGCGGAAACGTTTATGCTGAATATTGACCCAGTTGAAAAAAAGCAAGTTAAAAGATCTTTTGTAATCAATGATCAGATGGAATAATTTAGATTTTTATTATGACTAACAAATATCACAGTTTTAATATATAGCTCACCTTCCCATGAGGGAGATGCACAACCTTCATACGCACTGTGCACATGAAGTTTTACTTGAAAGAGTGTTCAAAATATACAAAGTAAAACAAGTAAAACAGCTCAAAATACTTGATCACATGTTCCTGCTCGTACTTTCACAATTTCCCTTCATTTTTAAAAATGATATTCCAGACACCCGTTGACTTGTAGTATATAGAATTAGTGTTGGCTACTGGGAAAACAGTGGAGTAATACAGCACATTGGTACTCCAGTGTACTACACAGGCCAAGAGGATGAAAATTTGATCCCCACAGTTTCTTCACCCATGAATATCATTATTGTCTGTACAGTTGATTACGACTGGACACCTCCCTTAATTGAATGGCAACAAGACAACTAATTCATCCCATTAAAACAACCTTGGTTTGCCAATCAAACTAAACCGATGATTAGTTTAGGAAAGTCTGATCAAAAGAGAAAACAGTTTAAGAATAGCTAGCCAAATTTTAGTTAACTTGTATAATTTGATTCCTTGTAGTTATTCATTCAGCTCACCAAAGCTCATCGCTTCCATCATGACATTTAATTTTATCTTGAATAACTCCAATGTTTTCTTTGTTTATCTTGCTTGATAAAAGATTACAAACATTTATTACTTTTTCATTTATCACTAATTTTTCTTATATCCATTCTACAGTTACATTTCACTAATACCCTTTTAGGCTTCTGTTACTTCCTTATCTTCCCTACCACCAATGCCTTGAGATCCCACTTGCATTTTAGATTTTAATTTTGTTAAATTTCTTCCAAGTCCATCCCCATTAAGCATGAGATCCAGCCTATTACTCTTTTTATTGTTTTCCTCTCTAAGGTATTTTTTTTAATGTAAGTATTTAGTCTTAGATCATATGTCTGCTCCTTTATAGGAAAAAAAGTGGAAAATATTTTTCTGTTATTTATCTCATGCCATTAGTAAAAAGCTGCTTATTTTTGACAGATACAATTGGATGTTTTAGTACTCTGGCAATTGTATGTTTCACAAGCAGTTTACTTGTGTAATTTGCTTTGTGAGAGGTAGAAAAGTAACATTTCTAACTTTTTTCTCCTCTTTTGAATTGCAAATTTTTTAACTTCTATTTAATGTCTTATTTAACTAGCAGCTTTTCTCATCACCTTTCTTGCTGTTAACCTTATTGAAAACCCCATTTGAAACCAAAGTCTACAACATAAAAGGCCTTTCAAAATGTTTTTTTGTGTAAAGCAGCACCCATTCGCTGAATTGGTTGCTATAGATTATTTGTAGCATCAGCAACTATATCAAACATGTTGATTTATGAGAGTGTGAAAGGCACGTGAAGAGCTTTTTGTAATGCAAAAAAGGGAGGATCTGAGTGAATTGTTAAAGTTTTTCTCTTCATAGATAGTAACATCATGTCTTCAATCTACACAATAAATAAATAAGAGAACATTTTAAGATTTATTCTACGATGTGTTAATTATTTTTCTGATAGTTGGAGCTGAAGGACAGCAAGTAATACAATATATTGTGTCACATTTGAAACAGAATTGAAATTGCAAAAGAGAAAAACATTGTGTATTAATCTTCTGAAACAGTCAGATTCTTTTAGAAAACCAACCAACCAACCGATGCCTCCTCCAACAGTTTGGCGAGTGCATTCAATAAGTCAAACCAAAGAGTAAAGTTTTAAGTTTGATCCATGGTCTAAGTTAGCTGATTCTAGCCTGGGAAGGGATGGGGGTGGGTAGTAGTGGAATGAAAGGCCTTCTGTGGTTGCCTCAATTTGTCTCAGCATCCTGCATTAGGGAAACGAAAAATAGCCAGGGTTAGAAGTCCAGCTCACTATCCATTAATCCCTGCTGGAAGTTCACAATGTCTGGAAGTAAGATTCAGGCTCCCATGGTTGAATAGCTTACTGACATTTGCTGCTCAACCATGAAAACAGTCACTTAGGTAAAGTACTTGAGAGCAAACACACCTTTGGGCAAAGTTTAAAAGACTCAATAACCTATAAAGTGTTAAATGGCCAAAGCTGAATTTATAAAGTTCTGTATGGTTCCAAGCTGTGTTTCAGTCCGGTATTGATGTAAGGTGACTGTACTTTTGAGGAATTGTTCATAAAGAATAATAACCATGTCACGTCAAAGCCTCAGTAGCACAAGGGAAATCTGACTAGGGTTTTAAAATCCAGTAAATCTGCATGTTTGCAGGGTTATAATCACCAGAAAACTTTGGGGATAAAGTAACTTCCACATATTTTAAAATCTTTTGGCATATACGCAATTCGTTGATGTAAAACCTAAATTGGAATAGTTGGTGTAATAAGTACCCTAAATACCTTGTTTTTAAGTTGAGTCTTGGAGATGTAATCCATGCTCAGCATTAGAAGTTGGTGCCTCCTGGTTCATGCCACCGTCTGTTATACTGAAGCAGCTTTGTAAATTGGGAGACACGCAGAAACGAATATGCAATACTCCTGCTATTTTGCTTGGTCATACTTCGGCCTACTTTGCTTTCTGCTCTCATCTTCTGCCTTGGTTCCTTCTAATACTAACTAGCATTCAGATTTATTCTTGAATGTTTTACCCATTTCCTTTTCAGGTAAGGGCCAGTAGGTGTTAGGGGGAGGAAACTGAGAAAGTTGTACTTTGTTTAAGGTTTGGGTTTATACATTGGAAGGGCAGGAAGGGTTCTGCAGGAGAGTCCACCTGCTGTTCACTCTTAGTCTCGGCGTGTGCATTTTGGCTGCCACTCCCGACCCGAGCTGCTTCCCCCAAAATGCACCCAACCCTATCCTCTACTCTCCACTTTTACCCCACCCACCTCTCCTGAACCCAACCACCAGCTCGGGTGCAGATCCCTGACAGTCCAGAGCCTGGGAACGTCCTCCTGACGTGAAAGGCGCTATACAACTGTAATTTGTTGTTATTTCCACTGCTGGCATGGGCACCGTATGAATCCGAAAGTGAAAGGTGCTACAGGTGCCATTGTATTGTACTATAAGGAAAGCTATACCATAACAAAGCTTTTTAAGATGGGATATGTTGCAAAAAAAATATTGTTGCTCTAAAATGTTTGTGACTAGTTGTTGAATATTGGCCTTCTTTCAACAACAGCTTGCACTAAAAGTGCTCTTCACATAATATCTAGTAGTTTTGGATGAGCTGCAGCTTGTAAATCGTGAAGCTAAGGAGACCAGAGATGAGTATGTTGGAAAAGTCTAAGCAGGATTTAACAAATGTGTGAATGAATGCTTCAGCAGCATTTGGTGTGAGATGGGCAGTTTGGGGTGGAGGTGGGCAATTTGGCAGAATGATGGAAGGGTCTTGGTGAGGGACCAGATATGAGGGAGAAAGGAAAGCTTTTCTGCTTATTAAAACAGTAGAATTTAATGTTAGGCAGGATCTACTGTAAGAGGATTACATGTAATCTTAATCATAATCATTTTGTTTGATTGCTTTTTTCAGGTCATCTTAATAGAATTTTTACCGAAGACACCAATATTTCGACCAGATTAACATGGAATTTTGTTTTCAAAGACTTGTCCAAGTGTGTTGTCCTTCCAATGGTGCCTTGCTTGGTACTCTCCTGGTGAAGATTTGTCAGTCTGACAGATCCTTATGTTCTTGCCTACAGTTCTTCACTCTCTATCCGTATAATGGTTTGTCCACACACTCCTGCCCCATATTAGTTTTTTCTGCATTTGTCATACCGCTTACATTCCAAACTTTTGTGACCTATCCACGCATCCTTCCCTCCTACCCATCATCCTTGTTTGTTTTAGTTTCCTGATGCATATTTCCTCTTATGCACAATAGATTAAGCAAATTTCAGTAAAATTGTGTATAAAATGATTTTAATAGCCAATGACTTATCCTACACATGTTTTTAAGAGATTTTTTGATAAAAGGCTAATATTGCTGGTTGAATTTATTGGAAGAATCATTGTGAGTTTGTGTTACATTTTCCAACCAATACCTATAGAGGAAAACAAAAGTCTATTTTTGTACTCTGTGTGTCGCCTTTTGTCATGCACAATAGTGTACCATCCTTCTTAATTTTGTTTTCTGTTTACCCTTTTCCTTGGACTGAGACTTTCTTTGCACAGATTCAGGAACATAAATTCTATTGTGACAACTGAAGTCACTGCATTCATGTACATGAAGAAACCTGATTGAAGAAACCCTTGTCAACTGGCTGTACTCAAGTCCTAATTGTACAACTTGAACAAATCACTTTGAATACTGTAGCAAAATCTGGTGAAGGTTTTGCATACATTGGATGGTTAATGAGACTGGGGACCATGGAAAATGCACTAGTTCTGCAAGCATAAATGAATACCTTATTCAGGTAGATGCCATAATTGATGATGGCTTTTTATACATTCTGTTACTTCATTTGTTTACTGATCTGTCTGCCTACTTTAGGTTTACATATAGATGTATTAGTTTTTTTGCTGTATAGATGTTACAGTGACAGTTCATCATGCAACATGTTGTATATTGTATTAATTCTTTGGGTCAGGCCAAATTCTTTTGTTCCATACTGCACCTCTGAAAGTGTGGCCTATGATCGTCAGTGTATTCAAACAGGCACTGCTGTCCATTTCAACACTTTAATGTATACTAGAAGCAGAAATAATTGTGTATAGGCAATTTTTTTTCTTTTTTTAAAAATGTGGTCAGATATTTGAAAGTTATCAATTCACAGGAGCTGATCTTTGAGATTTAAAGGGAAAATGTAAAATACCTTATCAGGAGCAATGGGAATTATCTATAAAATATATTGCCCTGGTTACTGCTCATTTCTTATGCTGAGAATCTTTCACAATTAGTGTTTTCTTGCATTTCTTTCTGGGGCCCATCAACGAAGTTTAGTTTTTTGAATGTATGAAGATTATTTTATTCAGATGTGTTTGATCTCGAGCACAAATTCTGCAACTTATCAAGCCTGTTTTGCAATTCAGCAGTCTTGTAATTAATTTTGCATTTTACAGTAGGAATGGTATTACTATCCAAATCAGTGTGTTTATAAAATAAGTTGAGGGAAGGGAGCCAGTTAGAATTTGCATCTTGCATTTCTGCTGATTCTGGTTAGACAGCCCTCTATTTAAGTTAACTGTACAATAGTGGGTGGGAAAAAATCAGCCCTTTGATTCAATTTGTGTAGTTGTTAATCTAATAGACCAAAGGTGTAGCTAAAGTAATTTTTTTTAATAATTACTTATATAAAACTTGCCTAATTCCTTCTTTCATTTGTTGAATGTGATCTATACCACCGATAGTTTTTTCTTGTCAAGAATTTTGCAGAATATGCTGTCACCTTAGGGTCTGAATTTGAGATATTGGCAAAGATGTTTTTGTGAATTGCTTGTAACTTTGAGTTTTACAGACTGCAAATCCAGGGTCGTCAAAGTCTAGGAAAAAGACAGCCATTTAGCTCACTAAACTTTTTTTGGCCGTGTAATTCACAGGCCAGGAATATTGTGAACTCAGTCGCAAACCGTAAATAGTAAAAAATATGAGGAATTTGGTTTGCTGATAACCAAATTAGAATGCAAGGCATCTGTATTGATTTAATAGCTATTATGTAAGCAATAAGTTCTCTGCTAATGTGTCAGCAGTTGTTCCCCTTTGCACTGGTTGTATGTTCAGTTTCTGGTGTTTACGCCATATTTGTTGGATTTATATCAAAGTTTTTGTGTTTATGGATCATTTACAGCCAAGTCCACTTGTTTTTTTGACCACAAATAAAACTCCTAGAGGCATTGTACACAGAGAAAGCAGTTTTGTAAATGAGCCCTATTCAAGCAGAAGACTAAGATCTGAGATCGCAATTCAGAAACCGAGACTGATTACACATAATATTGCAATATGAATGCCACTTTATTTTAAATATGAATGTAGATTTCTTGTGACTCGGTAGTTTAGGTGGTAGAACATCTCCCAGTTTATAGTGAATGGGAACTTCGCTTTAGTCAGCCTTAGTAATTGCAACAAATTACATACAGAAAATCATTTCCACTGCACCTATAGGTGTTAGAATATCCACATAGGAAGTGGGAAGGGAGGAAAGGAGTGGGAAAATGTCCTGTTTCCTAACTCACCTGCTGCAGGCACCGCCTATTAGCAGTTCAGTCCTGGAGAGACCTGAGGCACAGACTAGCTCATCTTCCTGGTAATAGGACAATCAAAACATGAAATGTAGAAGGGTTACTAGTGTACCTGAAGTACTGAATAGTTTGGATTGATTTGAGTTGAAATATGAAGGAAATAATAATTGGGAGTCCCAAACTTGATCCCTCATCGATCTCTGTATAAAGGCTGTGTTGTACCAGTTACACTGCAAAACAGTTATCCAAAAGTCCAGTACTGTGCCAGGAATGATCATTTCACAGGGCCCAGAAGACTGGCTTTCCAGTTGAGTTAAATCTATATAGTCATCTTTTACTGTGTAGGCTTTATATAATTGCAGTAAACCTTGAAAGACTATAATGTGCTGTATATTTGTAATCCTTCAGTGTGTAACATTTTTGTTATAGTTCATCAGGGAACCTGACCCATGACTGGAAATGTTGAGATTTGTTATAAATATTCACAAATATTAAAATATCAAACCTTGTATCTGCGTCTCAGTGGAAGCTGTATATTGAAACTATTTGCTTCACATCTAAATGTTCAATATGACTGAAACCATATTCTTGTAATTTTATGAATGTAGTGGGGACAAGAAGAAGCCATAATGTTCAATTAAACTAATTTTGTTCAGATATAGGTGGAAAATTAATGGCTGTATATATACACAAACTGATGCTTTTGGTTTAAAACTGGATAATACTTGCAATTGTCTAGTCACATACAAATATCTCAAAGCGCTTCACAAGGTTTTCCACAGACTGCAGTTGTAAATGAACAATTTGCCCACAAGCCTAGTTTTACAGCCAACCATGAATGAATGACCCATGTTTTTTCTCTAAAAGAATACTGGGCAGGCACTGGGAGAAACTACTTTTCCAATAGTAGAATGGCTCCTTAACATCCGCCTGAGCAGGCAAATGGGACCTTGGTTTGAACACTCATCTGAACTGTCAATATAAAATCAACTCTGGAGCTTGCACCTACAACCTTCTGACTCAGAAAAGATTGCCACCAAATGAGCCAAGCTGTTTTGTTGCAATATTTTTTTCAGTGATTGTAGTGGCAGATCACTGAAATGAAAGTACTAACTTGAAACAAGTGTAATTAATTGCTGTCAAGTGTAATACTTTGTTTTGTAGGCAAATGTGATTGCTGTTTATACTAGCAAGGTCTTGCACACTGAGATGGATGACCAATTAATTTCTAAGATTGTTAGCCAGGACACTGGAATAAATAATAAATAATGTGAATATTGTCTGAATTCTACAGTACCTCAAAATAGGCACTTGGGCCTTGGTTTAATTGCCTTAGCAGAAAGATGCCCCCTCCTGCACCACAATGTCAGCCTGAACATAAACTGAAGTTCTGCTTGGGGCCGAAAGCCACAACCTTTTGAGTTGTGTCTCAAAGCTGTGGGTGCTACCAATTTAGTCAGGCAGACACTCCAACGTTGATGAGGATTGTTCATTGTGTTCAAGCACAGAGCTTTCTAGATTCATTATTTATTTAAACAAAATACAGTATTCCTATGTTCTCGATTGATTGAAGTTTAGTACCCTTGGGACATCCTCTTGATGTGAAAGGTGCCAGATATACAAATGTAATTTGTTGTAGAAACAACATTTCTCTTAGAGAAATTCCTGAAAAGGAAAAATATCAGAATTGATCATTGTTCCAAGTCTAAGAAATTAATACTGACTAACTACTATGGATCCTCATTGGTATAAACCCATAAATCTTAGTATTGTAGTTGAAAGGAGAAATTTCTAAATTGATGCTGAAGTAAGTTAGATTCTCCTGAAGAGGAACTTCAGTTCTTGCCAGATTCAGTTTGCAGGTACAACCCATTTAACCTGATAAGACTGCAGTGCTGTATCTGAAAAACCCAAGAGATACAGTAGTTTCTATTAGTGTGAGCGGTTCAAAATAATAATAATAATCCTTGCATGTGATATAGCGCTTTTCACGTCTTCTCGACGTCTCAAAGTGCTTCAAAGAATATACTGTAAAGTGAATTGACTGTATAGTTGTGAGTGAAACGCGGCAGCCAATTGCGCACAGCAGTGTCCCACAGTGGATTGAAGTGACCAATTTATTATTGTTTTATTTTCTTGAGGGAATATTATTAGGCGTGTGGAGTAAGGAAACTTGCCCAAGGTTTCACCCTGCCAGGAATCAAACCCAGGTCTCTCGTTTGTAAAGCGAGTGCTCTAAACACTGAGCTACAGGACTCCACGTAAATTGACTTTGTACTGCAGCTAATTTTAAAAGAACACAAAAAGTGCAGTGTGTACTGGATCATCTTTAGGTGTGAGACAACTTCCACAGATTGCCTTGACACTTTATTTGATGTGTATTCAGTCTTAAGTATTACAACTGCTGCAAAAAATCATTCTAAATAGTGCGCCCAAGCCCTCTCCTGGAACGCTCTTCAGCGTGTGTAAGGGCTCGACAGTGATTCCTTCTTTACTAACATCAAACTGCACCAGGACACCAGCAAGCAGAATTTTACGTGTATTGCAATATGCACAACAAATGTTAGCTGGACTATGTAACAGGTAAAATGTAGCCTCGACATACTGAGAGTCACGTTTGGCTTCAGTTTCCAGCAGACCCTCAGCAATGTGGGTTCTAACATTTTAAGCAAACGAAGGAGAATTTCAGCCAAACACCATCCCCTCTGCTTCTCCAGTGCTGTAAACAAGACAGCGATGGTGTTTAACTGTCGTCTCGCCTTTTACAAACTGCAATGGGAAACACTGAAAGACTTAGATGTTGAAAAAACAAGAGTGTGTTGAGGGAGATACAGAGGGCCACACTGCCCAGCAATATTGACAACAACTTTCTGAAGCTGTCAGCAAAACTGATTAAGATACAGGATGTCTCTCCTTTACCATGAGCTGGCATTTAGCAGTACCGTTAACATTAGCTGTGCTAAACGAACCTAAATCTCAAAATTGTTTCATAATGGCTCATTGTCCCTCGTTAAAGCCTCTGTTAAGATTTTATCCTTCAAATAAATGTCCTTTTAGCCCCAATCCTTCTAAAAATCAAACGAAAGGAGAGGAGTGTGTGTGTATGTGTGGGTGGGGGGGGGAGCTGTGTGGCATATTCATGATGTTGCTTAGCTCCCAGTTAACCGGGTGTGTGTGGTGTGGTGTAATGTTGCTGAGAAGAAAAGTGGACGATCGATTTAATGTAGCCGATTGTCTAACGTGTGAAAAAGAGTAACAATTCTGTGTGAGTTAATTTTGAATTTTTCATAGTCTGTCTGCCAGCCCAGGTATTGTGCTGCATTCTCGCAGATAAATGCCCATTCCATGTGGGCTGCTGGATCCTAAATGCTCTCGCCGTGACACTGAGCCTTTCCTTTTGCAATCAAAATTATGTTGCTAAGGAGATTTGCTTTACTGTTACCACTGATTTGTGTTAATACGTATTGAATACCTCTTGGTATTCTTTCAGACAAGGGCGAAGGAAAACTTTCCTAAGTTTCGGAATTTACATTACAAATGAATCGGTCGTGTAATGAAGCCGATATAAAGTGCGAGAGAGAAAAGGGGCTAAAGAAGGGCACTCATGTGAGAAATGAAGTGAGCTGCTGCTGCTGCTGCTGGAGACTGGAAGCCTTCAATGTTCAGCTTCAGCTGCAAGAGGGGGAGAGGGAGAGGGAGAGAGGTCCTTTGCAACAGCTCCGACCACCCACTCACTCACTCACCCACTCATTCACTCACCCACCCACTTACTCACTCACTGCCCTCAAATCATCCACAGCTCCTTCCACAATATCCTCCAAACACTACCGTCCCGTTCAGTTCCCCTGCATTTTCAAAACCGAAACAGTCCTGTGTTGTCCACCCGAAAATTTAGTACCGGTTGTGTCGGTGTAACTCTCTCCTGAGAGCCCGGAGCTGTGAATGGATCTGTCTGTCTGCTCCCGTTTTCCAGAGTGAATTGTCTCGTTCCCAAGAATGGACCCTATTTTCCATTGAATTGTGGTTATTTCCAAAGTGGTGTTTGAATGCACGTGAATAATAATAATAATAATAATGGATCTTTGTGATCCACGATTTCTGCTGCAATTGCTTCGAATGAATGTACATAAAAACAATATCCAACTTTAATGCAGTAATCGACTCTGTAAAAAGAGAACACTTTTTTTTAAAGCGGTGAACAGCCCACATGGGCCAACTTTCAAATCACTCATTTGATCGACAATAAATAGTAATTCGATTATTTAAAATCATAGATAAACCGAAAAAGGGGAATCTGTCACGACCTGCAATTACTGCAGCATTTTAGTTTACCACTGCATTCTCAATACAGTTCAGCTCCTTTCGAACAGTTAAACACAGTTCAGTATTGTATACATTGTACAAGATACTAACTGGCTCCTCCCCGTCATGTCAAGTCAATTGTAGTTGAACCTCTTTTGTCCAAGCAGTCTCAAAGAGCACTGTATAATTTCTTAAGTATTCCTCTTGAATAACTGCAAAGTAATTCCTCCAGACAAGTCACAAATCGTTAACAGCTGGTTTCTGCAATTGCCAGTCCTAGTCGACACATACATCTCTAACAAATGGGTCCTGGACCTTAAAGCTATAGTAAACTTGAAGACTATCTTCTCGGGTCAGGTATATCGCAGATTTTGCATAGGGAGTTTTCGTACCCAATAAATCTGCAGTATAAATTGTTCAAATCCAGTGAAATTAAGAGGCCTCTCACACCTCCTTGCAATTAGTATACCTTTAACCCAAAGTGGGAAATCACTTTAAAATGTTTTGAACATGTGCTGCAGTTATATCCCAACATACCAATGCCTAGCCTGCAGAGGCCAGATCTGTAGTTATGCTGCCAACTCCAAATCATTCTCACCCCTGACTAAGTCAAATAAAGGGGAACCTGTGAGCATGACAATGCTCCTCTATTAATCAGTTCTGAAAGTAGTTTATTTATTTTAAAGTTTATTAAAAAACCAAGGTACACATTACTCTATTAGCATTAAAAACTTTAAGGGCTGACGATTTATTTTGAATGCCAGACTCCCATGTACAGATTAAGCCATTTTATACTCAAGCAGCTTACTTTTGAATGAGGAAGAACTTCTAGTGCACCATTTCTGAAGGGCAATTTAATTTGAAATCTTTTTCCAATTAAATTATTGACACATTTTTGAAGGTAAGTATGGTCAAGCTCCCCCCCACACACTATTCATAGACCTTCTTAGGAAAATAACCGTTCAGGCTGCAGGTGGATCCTACAAATGTTTGGAACCTGATCTTGGATGCTGCAGGTCTATGTTGGATTTTAGGGAGCATGGATTTGTTCGTACAAACTTATTCACCTGTTTAAACGTTTACAGGGATGAGAAAAGTGAAAGGAAATCTAGGTGATTATTTTTTAGTAAAATATGTAAAATTGCAATAAGGCCAAAGATTTATAATAAAAGTAGTAATGCATTAAACTTGTTAATTAGACTGCAGT